CATTCTGCTTCACAGAATTATGTTCTTTCTCTAAAGCGTTTGCTTTGTTTTATTTTGAAACACTAGATGGTTTCACCTCTTTGTGAATCTAAAATTATTAAAATCAAGCATTGTTAGCATCAGATTATGAACGTACTCGACCTGTGAGAAGTAGTATTTTCTTTGTATTAAGAGTCACGAGCCAAAGATGTTAGGAACCAATGACAAAGACTGCGGTCTAACCAGGAACACAGCAGGTTGTGAAATAGTCATGAAATGTAAAATATTGGTTTCCTAAACATAAATACAAATTCTCGTAGAATTAAATATTGAGAAAGATTACTTATGGTGGATATGGACCAACAGACTCGGGACTTTTAACCACGAGACCTGTGTTCGGCACTGCATTGTGGTTTTGTTGCCTAGACCTGACTGTTCGTAGTTATTTTAAGCCTAACCGTGATGTTTTTCAACTTATACGGCCCTGTCTACACGTATGCAGATATTTTTCAAACAGAGTTTTAGGATTTAGGGGTTTTAAAACTTCGGGTTTCTTTGTATCTGTGATGTCATGTAAAACAGAGCGTTCGGGAAACAATGACGTCATCTCCCCAATTTGTGCTTCCCCACATTCTCAGAGTCTTCCATGGCAGGTTCCTGAATGGCCACCAAGATGTGTGAATATTTTTGTAAAACAAGTCTCCAGGTCAACGTTTTTTTGGGCTTTCATCGCCTTAAAGTGACGCTAAACAGCAACACCACTTTGTCGTTTACACCGCCGAAGGAAATAGAGCTCACTGAGCATGCTCAAATTCTTCTTCTCTGGTATTTGTAGTGTCGTTGAGAAATCCTTTATCGTCACCTACTGGCCCGTCAAGTTTTTTAGGTTCCAGCGTGGACGAAATATTTAGTAAAACGAAAGTCGAGTGGACAGAATTTTACTTTAAAGCGTAAAGGAAAATATTCCTTACATTTTTTTTATCTGTATTCGTGGACACGTATAAGTGGTTTTGTTGCCTAAGTCTAAATTATTTTTAGCCCAAACCATGCTTTTCCAAAACCGTTATAAGTGGTTTTGATGCCAAAAGTAACGTTTGTTTGGTATCGTAACATCAACCAGAAAGAAAAGGTCATTCTGAGAGACACGAAAAACAAACAGACCATTCGTGCTCCTGTATAAAACTAATGGATTTCATGGATTTCTGTTTCACAAACTATCGTGAGCCTCCATGACAAATGACCCCTTGGGGATGAATAAAGTATATTTCTATTCTATTCTATCCATAAGAACATTTCTCAAGCAATTTTGCACGGTTCCGTCCTCACAGCCTCTTGTGCATCTACACTTTTTCCAGACTGGATACATTTGAGACACGTGGGACTAGTTGTAAAAGCAGAAGACAGTTTTATCTTGTTTCTTCAATTAATGAGGAGCAGCAGCGATTTAAATTCCTATAAAGCCCCCGAGGTTCTGAGGCAATCCATTAAAAAATAAAACAAAAAAACATCTCTTGATAATTTCAGCTATAAAAGTATCGGCCCTCAATTATGTAAAGCCTCTATGCCGACACTTAGAGAGAAGAGGTTTATGAATTTAGCTCCAAACTACGTCAAGCATTCCTTTGAATCCAGCCGCAGAGACGCATCAATAAGACATGGTTTGCTCACCAATCTATCTTTACAGTGAGGACGTCAGTGACTTCTTTGGGCATAAAAGGTTCAGAGCTTCAGTGACTCAGTTCTTGCTCTTTAACAAGAACGTATGTATGGCATTGGTCCCTATTTTTTATATTATAATTTGGCCATTTTTGGACGGTTGCATTGAAGAGTCGTGGGAAAAGAGAGGACGTGACACGCAACAAAGGCATTAAAAACATTTTCAGGCTTCAAATGACATATTTAGTGATTTAACAAAAGGTGTCAATCGTCAGAAATTAGAGATGATACAAAAACAAGCATTTTCTTAAATCAACATATTTTGTTTGCGTGTTCTCAAACAATGGGAATAATCTGCTTTTGTTTCGAGCAGAGGTTTAGGAAAGTCTCGTCATATTAAGAAATACATGCAGCAAATAGAGCTGGCCAAAATGATCCTGACGTTAATAACAATATGTATCAAAATAAGGCAAATTTACACAATTATTAAAGCATCAAACTGATATTTAAAGCAATGAACTGTGTTTCACTGTTCTGCATTACAAGACATCAAACTCTTTATGTGTGTAAAAGCAAAACAGGCACTAATTATGCTTTCTGCTATTCATGCTTTTGGACAACAGAGATTCCAGCAAAACTGACAGAAAAGCAGCGTAGTGATCGACATTATGTGCCTCACTTTGTCTCCTCTCAGTGAATCGTGAGGAGAGTGAGAGGTTTAGTGTAATAATTCCTGAATCAAATTTAACCTTTATTTAACCAGGCAAAATAAAAGAAATGCAATAAGAAAATGATGCAGCTTTAGTGCATAGAGATGGTGGCCTCCTGTGAATTTAAACCGTCATAACCGGCCTGAACGAACTGTTCTTTCTCAATACATTAATGAACACTCAGCAGCACCGTCAATATTTCATGGGCAGCGAGTGTAACTGCAATGACAAACAGAGCGTAATATGAGTTGTTCCTTAACATTCTCAAAAGTATACAAGCAGCTGCTGACCGAAGGGGACGGATCTCTGCAAATGTATTTCATTCATATGGGATGTAGAGCCGTGCCTCAATTTACATTTCAACTTTAAGTGGAAATGCAGCCAGGTGAAACACACACAGACTCGAACACAAAAACTGAACAAAAATACAAAAAAAGATGTTAAAACTAACCACACACACTCACATAAAACCTGGCGTTCATCCAGTGAACGGTTAAAACATCAATATCATGATTGTCACCCTTCACACCGGCTCCTACAGGCCTCCAGCTTCTACCTTCATCACAAACAAATCAGACATACGAAGCTCAGTTTTTATTCAAATCGATTGATTTTGTCTCATTAAATCATTTAGAGCTGTGTTTAATTGTAAAAGAGCTGCTATTTTTCAATGATTTCAAAGACATTTGGTATTTTTGATTAATCTGTTGATTATTTCCCATCGATTAAACCCATTAACCGGTTGGTCTGTGAAGTTTTCTTTGTAAAATGTATCGTTTTGACCGACATCTTACAGATTTTTAGTTTACAGTGATGTAAAACAAAGAAAAGCAGTAATCAATGATCATTTACACACGTGACCAATGCTTTGTCTCTCTCTCTCTCTCTCTCTCTCTCTCTATATATATATATATATTTATTTATATATTTACCCACTGGTTCAGTCAGTTGTTACAGAAACAGTGTAAACACAGCAGAGCTCCTCTATTTTTAGATCAGACCTCTGAAGAAGTACAGTGAGAACCCCCCCACCCCCCTCCTCCTCCTCCTCCTCCTCCTCCTCCTCCTCCTCCTCCTCGGCCTGCAGGTCTGATTGTGTTTCTATACAAAGTCAGGAAACTGTGTGGCCTTTGGGAGCTGTCCTGTTGTGAGGAAACGCACTGCATGCTGGGATCACGTCCAGCGCCGAGCCTCAATACACAACACGGTCGTTTCTCCGCCCTACGCCCCTCTTACATCAGCCGGGATCAGAGCATTGAAACACACACAGGCATGACTACTTCTTCTTATTATTATTATCATCATCCTTATTATTATTATTATTATTATTATTATTATTATTATTATTATTATCATCATCATCATCATCATCATTATTAATATTACTATTATTATTATTGTTGAATGTATTGATTTAGATGTGTAATGGCTCAGATAAAGATGTTACATCTCTGTAAACACGGTTTATCATTTTATTCATCAAGTCGATTTATCAGTCACATCACATAAATGTGTGTGTGTGTGTGTGTGATTCTGTGTGTGTGTGTGTGTGTATAAATGTGTGTGTGTGTGTGTATATGTGTGTGTGTGTGTGTGTGTGTGTGAGAGAGAGAGATAGGAAATATTTCCTTAAATCACAACAGGCAGTTGATGATGAAATAGCTGCTGTACAATATGATGATGCTGCTGTACAATATATTGAACTATTTCACACATAAACAAAATACACAATATTAATTCACTCTGATAAAGGCATACTAAATAAGTAAACTATATCAAAATTAAATAAGAATCAAATTAAATCAAAATCTTTGTTGCTTTAAAGCACATTCGCCTGTAGTAAAATGTGCAACATTTATAACGTTGCCTCAAATTTCCCTTTAAAAAGCCCTTCAATGTTGGGTTATTAAGTGGTGGTCATACATGTTTCAGACTACCACACAGCGCTGCAACCAACAATTATTTTCATTGTCGAATAATCTGTCGATTATTGTCTCGATTAATAAATTAGCTGTTTGATCTTCAAAATGTCGATCAGGTTGTTTTTTTGTCCACAACTCAAATATATTCCATTTACTGTCACAGAGGACTAAAGAGAGGAGAAAATAACCTCACTGAAGAAGCTCAAACCAATGAATCCATTATCAAGTTGCAGGTTAACTCACTCTATTATTTACTAAAAATAAAAACAAATACATTAAATGTGTTGTCATGAAGTTGTTAGAAAGACAGAATATTCAATAGTATATATTATTATTATTTAAACTTTGTTTTTTAATTGTTTGAGGTGACAGAATAATACATTAAAAAATACCTGCCATGAATTAATAATATTTATTTTATATTTGATATGTTGGTTTTGTATAGGTTATATTTTGGGCTGAGTTCGCATTGGCTCTCCGGCTCCCATAGGAACGGTGATGCGGCGGCGGGTCTTCCTGCAACAGCTGAGGCGGATCAGCAGCGTGATTGCAAATCACAGCAGACTCCGACATAATTGATGACCTAATTGAAAAGCAGGAGGAGGAGAGAGAGAAAGGAGGGGGACTCACTCAGCGGACAGGAGGAGAGAGAGAGAGAGACGCGCTACCAATGAGAAAAGTTTACTTGTTCTTCCTCCGCACAACCCCACAGCTGAGGGGCATTGATGTGAGCGCAGAGGCTGTCTTGTTTTTTACGCGCACTTCTTCCCCCCCCACGTCTTTCACTCTCACACACACGGAGCACTAAATCCACCCTCTCACCTTTATAGTTTTAGCGCGCGGTCTTGTATATTTATTTCACTCCCCTATTTCCTCCCTTTTTTCATGAATGATTCTCTCTAGCAATACTTGCAAGATATCCTCGGACACCTCGCCGTCCTCGTCCGCACGACCTCACCACCTCGGCACCTCTTCGCCCCTGAAGTTCAGACGGCACCAGGACTTCCACTGCAGCTTCAGACGCACTTGGGGGAAATATCAGTCGACGAGGAAAAGCTTGATACTTTGTGCAGCAGCAGCTGAAGCCGCAGAAGCGACCGCCGACATGAGTCTGAAAGCTGACGCAGAGCCGAACAACAACGTCTCCATCGAGGAAGAGGTCAGTTCAGAGAAAAAAACAAGTTTAGCAGCTGAATAAAACTGTCTCGGGTCATTTAAAGACTTCGTTTGGCTGAAGTTCCTTTTGGCTCAAAGTGGCTTTTCGCTCCTCTGGAGCAGTTTTGAAAAGGAAGTCATTTAAAGAGGCGAAACCACTTCCAGTGGAAGTCTGTGCAGGAATATCCTCCAACATTTGTATTTCAACATGCATTCCTTAATTAACGTTGTAGTAACGTCTCTTTTTACAAATGAAAACGTGTTTGACCAGGTGTGAAGTAATCGCTGCACTTAAATGAAGCAATTAAGCCGTTAGCCGTGCATTTTAGAAATATCTTATAATTGTGACCTAAACTGCAAATATTGTAAGCTGCATTTAATTTTTTTTAAATAATAATTTGATATTAAACACTGTAAATTAACTGAATAAGAAAAAAAGGTCCAATAGCTTAAGTTAAATATGGACTCTTTTTAATTTATCAATTATCCATTTATATATTTTTTTCCTCACTTTTGAGCATCCACTTTGTTGCGGTGACATTTTGTTTTCATTCAGGTGTCAAACTAAATAAGATGTCTCGCACAGACGCTGCAGGTTTCTCAGATTTGTGAAGAGGCAGCAGGTCCTCATGAAACTGAAACCTAAAAGATGGAACTCCTGTTTCTGATTAGACGCTTTATAAATAGATTTAATTAAAAACTGTTGCATGACATCCTGTATGGCAATTTGTAAGTTTTGTATTTTAAATCGACTGCAATGACAGAAAAATCACAAGAGCACTCCAAGGCACTTTGGTTTTAAACCATTAAAATCTCTTTAATGTAATGGCATTAGAATTAAAAGGTTTAAATCTTGAATTAAACTAAGAAATGTGACTTCATTTAGACCTAAAACTCATAAAGCCTCAACAGGGGAGTCAAATTAATCCATGTTGACTTTTTTTTTTTTTTTTTTTTTTGTGCCAGTTGTGTGCGTGTGTGTGTGGCCAGCTATATTTCCTCTTTAATGACTCCTTATGGAGACACTCTGAGGGGAGCGCTGGGCCTTTTGTTGCTCTTCCTTTGTTCCCATTATCTTTCAACAAAGACACGTGTGGCCTCTTGACATTTCTTAGCCTGGTTTCCCTTTGTTTGTGTATTTTTATCTCCTTGTAATCAAGAACAAAGATGAAACCGGATGTTTGTGTTGAGGCTCAAAAAACACAAATTTAGTCTTGAAGTGTTAAATCATCAACACACAGAATCTTATCTCTCGTTAATTATTTCTAGAGAGAAATTGCCTAAATTTGACTGACTCATTTCAAATTTTTTTGGGTTCATACAACTCGAGGAGGAGCCGGTGGACAAATGAAAACATCTCCATTGAGTTTGTGTCCCGCTGAGCCGGCCTCCACGTCGCTCTGTGCTGACTTGTAAAGGGCTGAGAATCGCTGCTCTGCGGCACCTGAAAAATGCCGGGGGGGTCAAGGGCCGCGGGTCAGAGGAAGGAAATGGTGTCGCGCTGTGCACTGTTGTCCAGTGCTGTTCGTCTGGCAGCCCCATTGTACTGCGTGCCTCCCCACCGGCTGGGAACTAATGGGCCTCCGCGCTGCACTATTTGTTTCCGCGGCCACACTGGACTGCATACGACATCGGTTCTCAACGTCTGCTCGAGGGGGGAAAGTCTAGGGGTCCTTGAATGGTACCCAGGGGGTCTCCATCAGGATGAAGAGCAATTGCTGTTCACTGAGCTCGTATCATGTTGGAGGATCACGGTTTTCATTCATATGCAAATGTAGGATACTGAGGGTCATCTAATGTTTTGGGTCTTGACAAGGTTCCCGACATGAGGGTCGGGGCCCAGCCAAGGGGTCGCTCAGTGAATTTGAGGGGTTGCGAGATGGTTGAAAGTAATTGATTAAAAGTTTAATTACAGGATATTTTGACCCCTAACTTATCAAAGTAAAACAATCTTGGAGGAAATAATCACGTCTTGAATTAAGTGCTCACAACGTCTGCAAACTGATTTTGGGTCCCAAGAAGATGTTGGTGTCACTTTAAAGGGCCACAAGCTTAAAGGTTGGAAGGCTTAAACTAAAGGGTTGTATACAGAACAACTGTACCCCTGAGCAAATGGGACTGTTTAATTCATGACCGTTGAAGTATGTCTGTCTTAAGATTTTCATAATCATTTGTAGCTTTTTTTTTTTTTAATTTTTTTTTTATTTATTTTTTTTAAATCTTAAGTTCAGGAATGGAGCCTTTTTCTTTGTATTCTCCTTTTCCAGGACTTTTGACTTAAAGTTCCACTATAAAAGTCCATCCATGTGTGTTGCTTATTAAGGAACAATGAGAGATGTTTATAAATCTTTTTCTTTTTTTTTTTTTTTTTTTTTTTTTTTTGTGCAGCTTAGTTGATGACCAAGAAAATGAAGACTCCAAATTTTAAAAAAAATACACGATATTAAATGCAGTCTCTTTTTGTTTGCAGGTGCGAACGCTGTTCGTCAGCGGCCTCCCGGTCGATATCAAACCACGGGAACTTTACCTTCTCTTCAGACCTTTCAAGGTAAGTTATAAGTGACTATTGGGTTGCACAAATTGTGAAGAATTGTGATTTGAGGTATACAAATGCTGCAGACTTCTCACTTTTCCTAAAAACAAAACGAAGATATAGCGCCAGGTTCTGGAGAAGAGTCGTGGAAAGTTTGCAAAAGGATTATCGGCACGCAGAGGAAGACGAGTTTAAGTACTGAGGAAGCAGCTGTAATCCAGTCTGAAGGTTTTCCTTTTGCAAACTACTTTTCATGATGCAGAATCCCAATTACACAAAGTTCATTAGAGTTCCTTTTTAGTTGCGTCAAACAATCCCCCGGTTGATGGCCGTGCAGATATTTGCATATATGGAAATGAGGCCACATCATTGTTTTCTCCACTGCTCCGTTGTTTTTTGTGACTGGACTCCAGTTCCATAAACTCCCCTCCCACCCGTGTCCTAACTAACCAAATTGGAAGTGGTGTCCCTCGCACATGGATGATCTCGTGGAATGTGTAAATGAGTAGCCATCGCGATTGGCCAACCGACCCTCTCCATGACCCAGCTCGCCCACCTCGTATGGAAATTATTCTTTTTTTATTTCACCTTCGTAACTTTCAGTTGTTGTGAAACCACTGAAATGTTCTGTTTCCTCAGGTCATTGTGACACCATTATACTTTTTATGCCTCTAGAGTAGTCAACAGTGTGTGCAAACATGGGTTTTATTGAAGGTTTTCAAAGAGGGAAACTTTTTTTAATGAACACTTTATTCCTACCTCGTTGTTTTCTCTTCGGCTAAATCTGGTTCAGATTGTTGCTTAGGATTTATGACGGCCAGTGAAAGTTGTTCAATTTTCCATGGCTGTAAATCAGGATCAGCAGAGATCCCATCTATCAATACTCCGATCTGGCCAAATTCCCCTTCAGTTCTCAGGAATTTGCTCTTGCTTTAATTGACCCTTGTGCTGTTTTTAAACCTGGTTTTAAAACCAGTGGCTTTATCTGGACGTCATGCTTTAACTTGTGCGTAAGAGAGAACCATCACATATCTGATAACATGTGCTTTAAAACTAAACGTGGCTAAATTTATTTTTTAGCTTTGAGGATATTTATTTGTAGTCAAATTCATGGTGCATTCAGGACTGCGCGTTGTGGCATTGCCTATCGTTTAACGATATATATCATGTTTTCTGGTATTTAAAACAAACACTACAGTGCTCCCTTTCTTTTGGTTTGAACTAACTTTGTACAATGAACTCGCAAACACAATGGCCAATGCTATAAAACAAGACCAGATGTCATAAAAATAACAGAATCATTTAAATCAGTGTTTCGCAAAAACTTTTCTGGGAACCCACTTTTTAAAAATGGCAAACTATCGCATCATAATTCACAATAGGCCTTATCTATTAACTGTGAAAAGAATGACATCACCTTATATTAGAAGATGTATACATTAATGTATCACAACTTTGTTTTATTCCTGCGTTATTAAAAACAAACGCATGTAAAATACTTTACACATGAGACGCTAGTTTTTTATATTGGGTTAAATTGTATAAGTCGGCTACAATTATTAGAACAATACAAACATTTTAGGCTGCCTCATGTGGCTTAAAGATGAACTGAAGATATAAATATTGTATAAATAAAATGTTAAAAGACTGGAAGAAATCCTGCAGATTTATTTGGCGACCTTAGTCTCCTGCGACCCCTCTATATGAAATAACCACATAAAGCCTTTTTTGTACATTCCTGTGTGAATTAAATACTTGACAAATGAAACGTTCTGAGTATTTTCTCTTTTTAATTAAGAACTTAAGTGCAAAACGATAAGATTTTCTGAGAAGCTGGAGTTGTTGTGTGCTTATTATCAATTCAGACGACCTAATTGTCTTTGTGATTCCATTTAAAGACGATGTATTATCGCCCTGCTGTAGTTGCATTTGTTGAATGTGTATGTTTCGCCTTATTTTACCACAACAAACATAAATGCAACAGCGTCTCAGAAGGACTCGTGACGTCCTGCTGCAGAGCTCAAACTGAAGGTGAACACAAGCGGGTTTCTCTCGACGCAGCGAGAAGCGTTCATGCCCGACTTGCTGCATGTGACTCCAGGGTGGATAATTGGCTATCTTTCTTCCCCGCAGGGTTATGAAGGGTCACTGATTAAGTTAACATCAAAACAGGTGAGAGGCTTCGTCAGTGGACGGAGCTGCTTTAATGCTGTTCTGTCTTTTTGTTACTTTAACATTGGCTAAAGACTTAAATGTCCTCTTGTTGTTGTTTTTTTTTTATCTTAAGATAAATATCCATCATTAATGTAACTGCAGGTTCTTTCATGTTAAGATGATTATTGATGTTGGTTGTCAAAGTGTTTCTTCCCTTTTTTCCTTCCAGCCTGTCGGGTTTGTAACCTTTGACAGTCGCACTGGAGCTGAAGCTGCCAAAAATTCCCTAAATGTAAGCATTCCCATGTTCTTATTGATTTATTATGTCTCTGAGTCTGTTGCTGTTTTAACATCCCCCTTTCCTTTTTCAAATCCTCATTTAAATGTTTCTTTGTATTTCTCAGATTTGTTCCACCCTTTGCTTAAAGGGACGGTTAACCTCCAAAATCATAAATTCACATTTGTCCTCGTACCTGTCGTGCCGTTTATCAATCTAGATTGCCTTGGTGTGAGCTGCCTTGTTTTGGAGAAGTCCGCCTTCTCTCCAGTATAATGGGACAATATGACACTCTGCTTGTGGAGCTCTCAACGTTACTTTTAAAAATCTCTTTCCAGAAATCATGACCCGGTTACTGAAGATGAACTACAAACTCTGTTGTCGGCAGTTTCACGTAGGAACTATTATTGAAAGAAAATTGAAACTGCTCCACAAGCAGGTCTGTAGGAACTATTTTTCTTTCCACTGAACTACACCAACTAAACGTGTCGCCGCGCAGAAGGAAGCGTGCAGCTACACTGCTAGCTCACCTAGCTAACCAGCTAGAGCTAAAGTTTACATGAGTGATGCAGTGATACGTAGGCCGGGTGTAGTTTGGTCGGAAGAAAGTAGTTCTTAATGAAACCGCTAACAAAAAGATCTGTGGATTGTCTTCAGTAACCGGGTCATGATTTCTGGAAAGTTTTTCAAATGTAGTGTTTTTTTAATTTATTTTTTGGCATGAGCGCCCCAAGAAGAGTTTCATATAGTCTAGTTATATCAGAAGACGGAGATCTCTACGGCTAATTACACTCAGCTACTCGCACCAAAGAAATCCGGATTGATAAAAAGCACTACAGGCCAAAGGACAAAATATATATATTTTTGTTTTTGGGGTAAGCTGTCCCCCTTTTTTTGTTCGTGATTGGGAGCTTTAAAAAACGTCTTCTTTCCCATAAAATCTCAACGTCAACCCATTTTGTTTCCTACAATTCAATGGCAGGGCCATTTTTGGAAAGAGGCCAGAATCCCGTAGCCTTACGGTAGTTTACTTTGACCTTGATACACACCCCTTCGTTAGTCTGTTATAGCTTTCCTTTATTTTGCATACCACTGCTTTAATCGTAATACTTTGTTCTATTAGCCACATGTGTAGTGTTATTTGTACACATCTCCAGTAGTGTAACCTCTCATTGTATCACCCAGTAGCCCACGTATCTGGCAGTATCTAACACCTCTCTCTCATAGCATAGCCTTCCTTATGAGCATCCCCTCTTTTAGACGCATACACACATACACCAAAGTACTACTCACCTGCATGTGGGCACAACGCTTAGGGCACAAGAACACAAGCAGGGTTCAACCACCTGAAAGGAGTTGCACTCAGAAGTCTCCCCATCGACCCCCTTTCTTTCCCCCTCATCTCGCTCTCCTCCTGCGCTCCTGATTTGGTCACGAGGAGAGAAAGGGATGCGAGCATGTTTGGAATATTCCAGGAGTGTATCCTCCGGTCTTTATTTGAAGACGTGAGAGGCTATGTTTTTAGGAGGATACAGCCAGAGTATTGCAACACGGCTTTAGGGAAAAAAGGAGGCCATGTGAGACTGCTGAGCTACAGCTCCTTTTGTTTTAACTCAGCCCACCTCCCTTACAATGCTATGTCCTCCTCCTCCGTGTCTCCCCCCAGGGAATCCGTTTTGACCCCGAAAGTCCCCAGACCCTGCGCTTAGAGTTTGCTAAAGCCAACACGAAGATGGCAAAGAGTAAGCTGATGGCCACCCCGAACCCCACAAATATCCACCCTGCTCTAGGAGCACACTTCATTGCACGGGACCCATGTAAGTTGTACGGCTGCACCACTCTTAGGCTCTTCTCGTCCACTCTCACCTTAGCAATGCCAGAACTCGATTTGCCCATTTAAAAAAAAAAAAAAATGTATATATACATCTCAGTATAGTTTGTTACAAGATACAAACGGGCAGAGATTAAAAAACAGTGTCTAACTAATTAAAGACTAACTCACCTCCACATGCATGCATCATCTCTACTCTTAGTTCAGCCGCTTTGCTTCTGTACAGCTGGGAAGTCTCCACTCTCTCACAAGTTGTTTTTTTTGGGTTTTTTTTTATTAGGCAGCAGCTGTCTGCTCCTCTTTGCATAAAACACCTGCTTGGTTCAGTAGATGTCGACAGGTGACAAGTGTCGAGGCTGCGTTCAGACCAGAATTCGCTCTGTGGAATTCGCGTTGAGGCAGAAAAAAAACGCGTGGTTTGGGTTGTAAACAAACTGAGAAACGGTTTCAGTAAAATTGTAAATCGTCCTTGTTCTCACTCCATCCTTTGCTGCTCGTATTTGGCCATGCAGGAAACGCTGCCTTATAAAACTTGGAGTTGCCTGTTTTTCTTCTTGGATTTTACACTTGATGCATTATTTATTTTTAGTTGGTTTTGCCCTCAAAAGACAAAACTTTATGATTAAAACTTTCTTTTAGTTCTTTGCCAAAGTGTTACAATGCTGTTGGAATGGTACTCTTCGATTTCGAATTTCTTTTCCAGTCCAGAAAAGCGTCTTTGAGCCTCCAGATTTATTGAACTCTAACTATTGAGTTAGTCTCTCTGACGGTTTAAACTGTTCAGCTGACATTCCAATAGTACTAACCTCTTATTTCTATTAAGTTTAAAGAAGAGCTTTGCTAAAGCAACAAGTTTCCTGTTAAATCCAGTTTATCGACTGCAATATTGTGAAACATTTGACTCTGAAACAGGAAGCTGTTCCAGTTTAAATCTGCACACCTTGATGCTAGGCTTCCAGTTTCTTTTACTCTTATTCAGCTGTTACTCGGAGGGATCTTGATGTGGTTTTATTCCCATGTACAAACCTAAGTATCATCGCTTAGTAAAGAGGACCTTCTACAAGCTGAAAGCATTAAAGACCATTCAAACATGGAGTATTCTTCTCAGACATCCGACTGTAAAGAAGCTTTTTTTTTTTTTTTTTTTTTGGCGAGCGATCCCAAACTTTTGAACGGCAGCGTATAACAAATATATTCCAATCAGCTCCAGCTGCTCTCAAACTGACGGGACATTCGAAAACGTCCCGTCCTGGTCCACGTAGAAATGAATGGGCAGCGAAATCTGGTCTGACTTTACCTTTTTATTTTTTATTTTTTTTGGGTTGTAAAAGTTAATTATAGTCTTTTAGTCAGTTGAAGCTCTTACTACAATGAGACACGTTAGTAGACATAAAAGCCACATTACAGTCAACAAAAACCTCTTTTTGCAGCATGTTTTGATGACGCATTGTCTTCCTTATTTACAATATTTAGCTTCTGTACCGATTGGCTACATGATGCAGGGCCGTATATTCAAGGATAGGTCAGTCAGCTTTTTCGTTTCCTCCCGTCCTGTACTTCCCCAGATGATCTGACAGGGGCGGCGCTGATCCCAGCGTCCCCGGACGCCTGGACTCCCTATCCCCTGTACACCACGGAGCTGGCCCCAGGCCTCCCTCACGCAGCCTTCACGTACCCGGCAGCTGCTGCCGCTGCTGCAGCCCTCCACGCCCAGGTGAGGGACCAACCGTTGTCTTCTTTCCTTCTACTTTCCTAAGTATCCTCTAGTCCAACATCAGCTCTAACAAAACAGTGATCCTTCGTAGAGACGCCTGCACCCAGGTACAATCCTAAATCCAAATTTACTGAAAAATGAGTATCGAGAGACAAAGTCCTGCCCCGTACAGTGGACCACCGTGGGAGCTTAGTTAAAAATAAATATGTGCCGTAGTCGATGGCGAGTGACGAATCATTATTTGATCCTGATTTGAATTTTGCCTGAACGTTTGTCAGTTTAAAAAAATGTTTGCACCTCCAACAAAGTCATTGTCGTAAAACTTAAGTATAAAACTGAAAATGCGTAATTGGAAAGACGTCGGACCCCAACTTTGTGTCGGTGACGTCTCTCTCTGAAGTCGGGGTGTTTTTACACCGTGTCTTGCTCGTTCTTTTGCTTCCCGGCTGATGATAAATGATTTAATAAAACTCATCCGGTAAGATAACGTTACATTTGTGCGGGCATCATAGCTAAGTTGGCTAACTAGCTAGTCAAACTAATGGCCATTTTGGTGTTGGTGAGGTACATTGTGTGAGAAGAGTTTCACACAAAACTAAATATTACGACAAACTGCAACTTTCATGACGTGCAATATTATCTTTTAAATTGAGAAACATTAAATGTGTAATTAATGGCACAATTTAAAAAGGATCATGCAACAGTTATTATGAATTCCAGAGCTTTTCTTGGCAAGACCTTTGCAGCATTCAAGCGCTAGGATGGGTCAGTTGTCTATGCTAACAGAGGTACTGGTAACCTGATTTGTTCTGGTCCTATGTCCTGACCAATGGGCTATGCTGACCATAACTACTCGAGGTCAATGCCTAACCTCAACCAATCATCTCTGCCTCAAGCATCTACGCAGGGCAGGTCTTGCCAAGAAGAGCAGTGGGATTCATAATTACGCAATATGCAACGCACAGCTGGCTCTCTTGCTCTCCATAGAAAATAAGTACTTCACATATTTCCAGCTTTTTTCTTTAAGGATCCACCGCTTCAATTAAAAGCAGAGGTTCAGATTCTTGAAACGACCCCAGTGGTCATCTGAGGTACAACAATAACGGCACAAAGATAAACCCCAGATATTAAGTCTTCAATGCAATAAAGTTAAAACCCTGATTTATATCGCAATAAAAAGATTTGTCATCTCTAAATGGAAAATGTCTCGACTCCCGCTCTGCTGTCGGCAGAAGTGACGTGTTCATGCTTTCATGTGGTGTAGCGTTACGGTGCCACGCACTTACCTTAAATCCCTCTTTGTGGTCGTCGTCTGGCTGTTTTTGACTCATGGTCTCCTTTGTTCTTTTTTGGGGATTGAGATATAAATGTTTCCTTTTAATAGTGCGTCCCTGTCCCGTCTGTGTGCTGGAAGATAAAATGTGCTCTCACTAATGAAACGCCCATGTTTTATTCTACGGCGCAGACTAAATAAATGGAAATAATTTCGTCCTTTTTAAAATAGGTTATAGTTTAATCCCAACTAAGACCTGGTTTGCATTCAGACAGTAAATCAGTTAAATGTCATGTTAAGATCTGGTCTGCAAATATTCTTTTTAACAAAATGGGTGAACAGTTTTTGGCAGACACAATGGAACTTTTTTGTCCCAAAGTGTTTACATTGCAAGCTAAATGCTACAGAAATAGAGCAGCTAAATACAAAGCAGTGGGCAGGGCCATTGGTAACAATAGCAATGGAAAACATTTCCCTCGTTGGTTCATTTAAAGTTCATTCTGATCTAACTTCCTCCTGCAATGTAAGAGCACAGGGGAGTGCTACACTGCAAAGTAGGCAGCTATTACATGGACCATTTTTGTTGGGGCGTAAGAGGACGGAGGAATGTGAGGTATTTGCTTGGAGAAATTGTTCGACCTGATGGCCTTTCTCCGAAGGTGCCAACTTACTGTCCACGTTCCTGTTGGAACATAAGCTGACTGTAGCCACACAAAGGGGGGGGGGGAGCCTTTTTAATTGCAATCCGGTGAAAGATCGCTAGAAGTTCCCTTCCCACTGACTCTCGGCCTTCGTAGTTTGACTGTGACACACAGCGGCGTAACATCAAATGTCTGTTGATGACCTCCCGAGCTGTTTCTTTTATTCAGTGTAGAAATGTCTCATTCTGCCACAAGTATGGAAAGATACCGTCTCTTACCCTGTGGGAATGTTTAACACATGGAGAGGTTAGACTCTCCACGTTTCCATGCCTCTTAATTACTCGAGGACTATTGTCCTCAATGAGCAGTTACGTGACCCACATTCCCATGGCTCCATTGACCAGGGCTTAAAGGGACAGTCCTCCTAAACCCGTTTGTCCAAAAGTAAATTGTTTGTGTGTTGATCTGCTGGATTGAGGACTAAAGCCTGGTTTATATTCTGCTGTACATGATTATGTTTGTGTTTCAGATGCGCTGGTACCCTACGCCCTCTGAGACTGCCCAGCCTGGATGGAAGTCCCGGCAATTTTGTTAGATATTTAGTGAGTAACCTTTGGTCGAACTATTTGTTGTTTTTAAAATATATGCCAACCCCCACCTTTATCTACTAACTGCTAACGTCATGCAAACGTAAACCTAGCACAATGATTGACTGAAATCTGCAGTATGTGAAAATGCCTAAAAACATATTGTTTAAAGGATAAGGCTGCTGATGCTGTCTTGTCAACAAATTGATGAAAAGATTAAATACAACACCCCAAGAACAGGCCATTAATATATACTTTAATCCCCCCCCCAAAAAAACACTAAATTATCTCCTGAAATAGCTGAGCTCTGTAGTGCACGGTGTTCAGCTCATTTTCTGTGACCAGTGTAGCGTTGAACACGGAATTAGCAAGCTAACTAGCTAGCTCTCCGCTTTAGCATGCTAGTTTTCTGAAGCCGAGAGCTAGCTAATCAGCTAGCTAGTTAATTCCGCCATGCTTTAATGCTACACTGGTTACAGAAATTAAGCCGAACAATGTTGTCATTTATCAGTTGATGGCAATATTCTTTCTTACGCTGTGGCAAGTGTGGATGAAGTTGTTTAGACTAATGCTTGTTTTTCTTCTTCAGGCCTCTGGAAACCACACCTTTCTGTCCAGCTGAAGGGAGGTTTGCCACGCTCTTCATTAATTAATTTAATCAGGTTTATTTAATGGACAAATGTGCATTATAAACAGTATTTATATCTCCTCCCGATTGTCTCTGGGGGGAGTCTGAGTTTAAACCATCTTGCTGTCGACAATCTGAGCTTATCCTTGGCAGCTACTGCGGTACCATCTTAGCACTTCAAATAAAAAATTAATTAAAAAAAGAACCTCATGCAAAAAGCAGAGTCAAAACTTCATAGATCTTTATTGCTGAGGAAAATTGACGCATTGAAGTTGTTGTTGAGCTAGTCCTTGAATGGGGTCACCGCTGCTCCCGAGAGGTTTAGAAGCGTTAAGAGTCATTGCATGTTAGTCTTTATGGCATGAATTTAGAACGCAGAGTTCTGTGTATCCTAATTTTCTTAGTTTGTGTTGCCTCTTTACCTTTTTTTGGCCTAGACAGCGAAAATGTTTTGTTTCCCTGTAGAACCTTGGTCTTACCTCTGTGAAAGCTAGGCTGTTGTGGCTTATCTCGCATGGACCTCGTGAATGCATCCCTATGTTCTATATGACAACCCCGTGTACTTACGATCATATCGGTGTCTGTCTTTATTTGAGCAAAGGAAAGTACAAGTATTTTTGTACTTTTTTGCGTAATGTATATTTATGCATTTTTGTGCAACTAAAAATAATGAACCTGTATAAGTTGGATGTTTAGTCGTCTCTTGTGTTTTTCGGTGTTACTTTTTGATCCTATAATCCTGTTGACGTAGTTTTAAAGAAGTGCAATTTGTTTAAAGGGGAAATGGGTATCTGTCTAAAACAAATGGAAGTATTCTGAACGTGGCTTGTGCCATTCTGATAAAACGAGATTGCTGTAAAACGGATCTTTCAGAATGTGAAACTGGACTACGAACGTAAAGGGTTGTTTATTTTCTTGGGGGAGGGGGCATTTTGAAATGGGAAGCGGGATCAGAGCGATGGAGGAATTTAGTTTGTGGTTTAGAAACATGTTTGTCTTTGTATCTGCTGTGCATAAGATGTAAAAAAAAAAAAAAATTATTCCCGTCTTATGAATAATAAAAAGAAGTGAATGCATTTTGTCTTTGGGCGTCTGTCATATTTATCGCTGCGGCCAATCGTAAGTTAACAAACGTTAACTCCGAGAATTCAACTCTGTGGACGTCAGATGTTGCCATCAATAATTCAAGACATATTTTTCATTTATGCACGGGTGCATTAGTGTCGCTTTGCATCATGCTGACCTCCACACTCTGCCCTCATGAACTGGTGAGATGCTCAACCAACCGCGACGGCTCCTCAAGGGACTCTTAAGTGACTGTTCCCAGTACGACCAGCTGCCTCATTGCACTAGTGACGGTGGTTAACCGTAAACATTTGTCCATATTGTGCCAATTATACCGGACACAATGACGGCTTCAGCTGTGTGACAGTCACTTTTTAAAGTGAAAACAGAATGGCATACTGTGAGCAATACCATTGAAGTTAAAGCTGTAATGCTCTGGGTTTCTTTTTATTTCTAGTTTTTTTTTTTTGTTTGTTTTTTTGTTACCCTTTTAAAACCAAAATGAAGACCTAGTGCAGAATCCATGAATTGACTGACATGAAATTAAGGATTCAAATTTTAATTATCAAGCAAAACTGTCACTATCTAACCAAATGTGAGTTTGCTGCTTGTCCCTTTTTATACAATAGTGTGTATTTAAATTGTTGCTCAGACAAAAGACAGACGAAGTCTTAAAAGCTTCTATGACCTCTGAGAAACTGTCTTTTTCACCTATTATTATGGGACTTTTTTTACTAAATCAGAACGATCTACCTCAGATTAATCATGAAAATAATTGCTTGCAGCTGTTAAAGAAGACTCCATAGTTCACCGATGGATGCCGACTAATTGAGATCTGACGAATGTAGAGGGATAAAACCCAAATGGAACAGCCGGTTCAGGAGAACCGTCCATTTTGATCTTTTATGAAGAAACCCGGGTCGGTTAACTTCACTTTCACACAGAATATTTGGATTGACATGAAATCAATACAGAGTGCAAAGACAGAGATGCAACCAACATTTTCTTTTCTCTGCTGTTTTCATCTGCAGACATGAGCTGTGTCGGGTTCAGATACAAACCTAAACATACCGAAAATAGATTTGGAGTTCTTTACAATAATATTGGAATTGTGAATTGTTAACGGACAAAGGGGCACAACTGTGTGGTTGGTTCAAAACACCCATTTAGTTTCATATATTTATTCTAAAGTCTATTTACAGCGTTCATCTCAGTCTGCAGTAGGTCAGCATGAAGGTGATCCCATTAAGAAAATAACAATAAAATTAAGGAACAAGTGTTGCTTATTTATGGATGAATGTTTGCATTTCTGTTTTCCTTTGTGACCGTCATTTATGTAAGAACACAATAATACAATGAACCTTTATTGTCCACCAGGGTGGAAATGTGTCTTTGGCTAGACAAAGAACCACATTTATCCGAATGGAGGAAAACACCCGTCTCTCAAAAACAAGGTTTAAAACAATATCGTCGTAAGAAGGTTCTGCTCTGATGTGCAATAAAATCTCAAGCATTCATATTTTGTTAAAATAAAACACTTTAGATTATTTCTCTCTTACTGTAGGTTTGAGAGAAATGTTGGAAAAGGATTTTTCTTTTGCATTTCTCATATTTCAAACAGAATTCAGTCAGATATACATATATATATACATCTATGTACATTATATATACTTACATATATGTACCCCACATTGTCATTAATCATTCAGAAAGACCCTTAGAATCCACCTCTTCAGACCCCCCCCCCACTATGTTTTTATTTCCTCGTCCACACCATTTTATTCTAATTCTCTTTTATTTTATTATCTTTTTATTGAGTAGTTAACTGCGTGTTTCCTTATTTTATCCTACTTTGTAAAGCATCCATGGTAACTTTAAAAACACTTTATAAATCTGGTATATTAGTATTATTAATAACTGCTTCTTTTGTAAACAATACATTGAAAACACTCAATTGTGCTTCTTGTCATTGTTTTTTTTTTTTTAAAGAACTGTATCTGTGCCACAAGTTTTTAAATTATGGCAACTTGCTAAAAGTGTGAATAAGGTATTATTGTCTTTTTTTTTAACAACCACCAGGTAGAAGGCTGTCTGGAGATTCTGCTGAAGGACTTTGTCGCCCTCTTCTGGCCAAACGTCAACATGACCAGCAGCCATGAAGCAGCTACTGAAGTAAGAGCGTCTACTGGTGCTGGAGGAACTATTCAGACCCTTTACTTTAGTACAAGTACCACGCGGTAAACATACTCTGGGACAAGTGAAAGTCCTGCATTGAAAATGTAACTTTAGTTAAAGTATGTAAGTAAAATTCTGGCTACTTAGAATATTAAAAGTAAAAGCACTCAATGCAGAAAAATGTCCCTTGTGAGTGTTAAACTGTTATATATCATATTACTGAAGTATTATTACTCTGGCATCAATGTAAAAGCAGGTTGTAGTTGGTTGAGCTGGAGTCAGTTTTGTATCAGTCTGCAACTAATGATTATTTTGAATATAGATTAATTTGCTGAATATTTTCACCATAAATCAAATGTTTGTAAAAAATTCTGAAAATAGTGAGAATGGCGTCACAATTACAGAGACACCTTCAACCACAACTATAAATAATTATTATTAATATTATAAAAAACTAATAAGACTTTAAATGATTAAGTTGTTTCAACTGTACTTTTGGGGTAATTTAATTTATAACAACACATCATAGTTTAAAAACTCTTCCGATAAAATATGAAATTGTAAAGTAACTTAAGCTGTCAGATAACTGTCGTGAAGTATAAAGCTCAATATTTCTCTCTGAGAAGTAGAAAGTGGCATCAAAAGAAAAGACTTAAAGTACAAGTACCTCAAACGTATTGTACTTAATAAAGTAAAGGTACTTAGTTTCATTGCTCCACTGGCGTCTATACTGTACAGATCTGTTTGGCTCTCAAAAACATCTGGAGCTCTCCTTCAGATCAAATATGCTGTTCAACATGTGCACCTTATTGATATTAATCAATATAATCAGTTTAAAGTGGAACCAGCGAGACTTTATCAAACTACATTATACTGTATATTACTGTTTATATTCTCTGTGTGATGCATTGTATTTGTGCTCTTGTTTTGTTATTGATTGTCCTCACTGAACTGATTCTGCTGCTTCAGAGACTTACACTCACATGTGGATCAATAACTTTCCATCTTATCCGAGTCCGTTCTACTTGAAGGTAATAAAACATTTACAGTTTAAAGCCCTTCATCTATTTTACGTAAGTTTCTTTTGAAGCGCTTGTTCATCACAAATACTGACTTTATCTCCTTTACAGGTGTTTGTTTCATCTTAACTCCGGAGCATCTTTGAAGCTCAAACATGGAGAGGAAGTCGTCCTAATCTGTTAACCAACAGCTGACTGTAACCATGCTGACACCAAAGTTCTGCTTTTATTTTAAATATTATATTTATACTTTCCCACTGCAATGGTGTTCTGCTATGTGTTCTATATATTACATGTTATTTTGTGTTTTGCTGAGCTAAAGACAGTTTTTACAGTCCGGTGGACGATAAATATCCTCTTCTGTAATGATTATTATAATAGTTCAATGCAGCAGCAGTTGAAGGTATTTAAGGTGCTAAATATAGAGACTCACACATCTGACTCTAACCAGCAGTGGTGGAAGAAGTACTCTGATATTTTACTCTTTAGTAAAAGTAGCAAAATACTCTGTTACAGGTAAGGTCCTGCATTCAGAACTTTAGTAAAATCATAAACGTATCAGCATTCAAATACAATCACTAATGTTGCAGCTGGTAAAGATGCCAGAGGGCTGAATCCATAATAATGCATCATCATGTATTCGTTGATTGTATTCCGTGTTAATAATCTGACTCTGCAAAGTAGCTGTCACATAAATATAGTGGAGTTCAATACTTGCTCAAATGTATGAACAGCATAAAGTAACATAAAATAGAAATAAACTCAAGTAAAGTACCTCAACATTGTACTTAAGATGAGTCGGTACTTCAGTAAATGTACTTAGTTACATCCCACAACAACAGGAATGACCTGAAAGAAGCATCGTAATCCAAATACACAGAAGTCTGATGGTCACTTGTCCTCATCAGGTAATGCAGCTTCCATTATCTACCATTTCACAACAAACAGGTGGGTCACAAGTATTAAAATGTTTATTTTTAAGGTTGTGAAAGCTAATAAAGATTATGTCTATTTCTAGCAGAATTTTTAAATATGTTGTCGCCACTGAAGTGCCCTTGAGCAAAAGCCCGGAATCCCCCAAAAAATCCAAAACATCTCTGAGAAAATTCCAAAATTAAGAGTTTGAATTCATTCAACCGGATGAGACGTCGGCGTTTTAAAGTCCTTTATAGATGAATTTCATTGATATGGTGCAGTAAGTCACTGAGCAGTACTTTTAAATAATGTACTACTTTCTTTTCTTTACAAAGAATTCAGTATTTATCTCCTGCAATGAAACACAGCAACACTGTGATGAACTGCATTGAGTTGTTTTAACGTGGAGCAGCACGAGAGTACAAGATATCTACTTTAAAGTGAGTATCATGAAGGTACACAACAACATCCTTGATGTACTTTCATTTTCATACCTTTGGAACCTGCGTCTCGATGTCTTTATTTATTTTATGTATTTATTTGAACTTGCATTTGTGTTATGTATTCAATGTACCATCATGCTTTGTTGTAGCTGTTTTAAACCAGATATTAAACAATATAACAAATATTGTATTCCAATCAAAAAATATTAAAAATAAAATCCAAAACATGTTTAAAGCGTAAATACTTTAACTGAATATTTCTTTTAAATATATAATCATGTGACTTTCTATTGTGTGCGGCGTGCTTCTTTGATGTGTCACGTGACCAGAATTGAGGCCTCCTCGAGCCCCCCCCCCCACGCTCGTGTCATTCGCCGAGCACACGTTCACTAAATTGAGACTAATTAGCCGGCTAGCAGACTTTTCATAAATATGACCTTTTATCGCTGCCAGCAGTTATAATTTGGACATTTCTCACAAGCTGTCAGTCCACATCATGGCGTTTTCCCTGGTGAGTTACAGGAGCTAATTTAAAATAGCGAAGTAAGTCTAAACGTGCACATTTGACCTTTTAAACTACCACCGACGTCTCCGTTAGACTCCATTTTTTTAAATTCCGCTGCACCACATGTGTCGTGACCTCCTAGCGTTACCTTAGCATTACTTTTCTCCTCTTTCTTTGGTGTTTGCTTCTGCAGAGAAACGATCCCCGCATGCCAGACAGCCCGGACCCCGAGTCTCCGGCCCTGTCAACCTGCAGCAACGCGGACATCTTCCGCAGGATGAACACCATGCTGGGCAACGCTCTGGATTTCACCGGTGTGTGCACCACACCCAACAACACCACCACCACCACCACCAAGGGAAAGCCAGACCTGCTGTTTGGTAAAGTCTGCTTAGTATTCTCCACCCTGCAGCAGGTCGAGTTGGCTGCAGAAACCAGTGCAATGGTTGCATTGCTGGTTTTAGAAACACTGGGACCAATACATCAAGTCCCACCACTGATGCCACATGATGGGTACATCCAAAGTAACGTTTCTTGGGTTTTATATTAATGGGAGACGCTACAGGTGAATAGTGTTAAACATGAAACTGATGGTTGTCACAGTGAAACTTCACATTACTCGCTTTAAGACTATACGTTTCTGTAGTACAAGTTTTCTAAAATGTGTTTAGATATGCAAATGAGACCTTATCTTTCCACTAGTCTGACAGAAGACGTATAGCTGCCAATCTCAAGTGTTCTCGCTTTTTAATCATTTAAGTGTGAAGTCAATGTAGTATACATTTTACACTGTGAAGACTAAATGCTGCTTCAAGCTCGCACTAACGGAACACACTCTTGTATTGGAAAGTACGTCTAAATGATGTCTTTCACTTCTTTACTTGGTCCAAAGGTTCTCAACTGTTATGACATGCTGGTCATTATCGGCTAAACTATATTTTAATCGATAAATCATCAATTTTGTGTCTTTTCTGACAAAGTCCAGAAACACAACTTATTTAATTTGCAGCGATAATGAAACAAACGTTTGAGGTTTGAAAAGCTGAAAATGTAGAGTGTTTAGCATTTCTTCTTGATGGAGGGCTCGTTGAAAATCATTTTTCTGTTGATTAATTGCTTTACGCTCTTGGAGCCAACGCTAATGTGAATTTATTAAAGTAAAAGAAGAGCGCCTGAATGAGCCTATTGTAGTGCCACATTTTAGACCAGAAACTCGTAACATGACCCTGAATGCAGCTTTCATTACCTCTAGTTTTAAACCAGGTGGATTTAACTTGAGTGTGGAACCTCTTCATCTCCACCGAAGAAAAGGAGCAACTTTAACTTTCTCAGCCAGAATGGTTAAAGCTCTTTCCTCTTGTCATTATCATTCGGGTGCCAGCAGCTGATTCATGCTGCATCGCCATTCTGCAGCACTGCAGCACTTTGAAGTGTTGTGTTTTTTTTAAAGAGGGTGAGATTTGCCAAGATTTAAGCTCCGCACAGCACCTGTGTCCTGTCTTTGAATTGTGATGTATGAAGATTTTACTCGCCTTGACTCCAGCAGCACTATAACACACTTGTGTACGTTAAAGATTTTAATTTTGAAAGTGAACTGCTTCTTGAAACGCAGCTGAACTTGGGTCTGTGGCCGCCCCGGCTCCTGTGTTGCTGCAGCTGGATGCTGTCCAGGCTCTGGTAGAGAGGGCAAAGGGAGGAGCTCAACATCTGATCAGTCAGCTGCTTCTGCTACAGCCAGAGACTCTGCATGCACTGTTTTCTTCACTGTGTGTGTGTGTGTGTTATCAGAATCAATGTGTCTGATTTAGCAAGCTGGCTTTTTGAGCATGCTCAAGTCAGAATTTTAAATTTTTATTTTTATTTTTTTTTTAAATCAAGTCTGCTGAGTCATTTGCTCCATGCTGCCTCCCACCATGCCGCCGTAGCTCTGCCCCGAGCCTCCCTCCCTCCCTCCCTCCCTCCTCCCTCTCGTTGTCAGCTTGCTCAGGAAACAAGGCGAGGCAGAGTAAGCAGCAGCTGTGGCTGCCGTCTTTCCACCGACTCGGGAGAGGGGAGTTCTTCTATCAACAAGCCAATAACTCCGGCAGGAATTTTTTATTACAGTCGTTAGGCAAGGAGGCTGGGAGGTGGAGGGTGGGGGGGGAGAGCTGATGTCATTAGCAGGGGTGTGCGAGTGCATCAGCAGCCATGTCACATGCTGCTAGGTGGGTCAGTGATGCGGACGGAGATGCATGGCAGTTGCACCGGGAACAGAGGCAGCAGGTTAGCTCCCCCGTCAGCCGGAGAAAAAAGGAAGGGGGGGGTGAGATCAGGGAAGTTTGTTTTTTTATGAGATTTGTTTGTCGCGAGTCTGTCCCTGACCTTCTCTATGTAACGCAGACTGAAACAATACTTCTTTTAACACTTCCTCTCTCTCTCTTTGTTTGTGTGAATCTCTGAACTGGATCTTGGGATTGAAAAGAGTCGGAGCTGGCTGCGGTGGGCAGCAGGAGGATGCTCTTCCCCAACTGTGGTGGTGGTGGTGGCGGCGGCATGCCCGGCTCCCAGGAGATGCCGTCATCCAGGGGCCCGCCGGGTGTCACAGACCTGGGCCTGGGCCTCCAGTCCCTCCGGCTGTCCGGCTGGGACAGACCCTGGAGCAGCCAGGAGACGGACGCACACAACTCCCCCTCCCAGGTTCACACCAGCTCACCCTCCAGTAAGTACCAGACATTTTGTTTACATGTTTTTATACCACATAATGTCCCAGAGTTTAGTTGAAGGTGGCTGTTTTCCTGAGAGTTTATAAGCTCTCTCCATAACCTCATTAACATTACAGCAGACATCATAACCTCTGCGAGCTCGTGTGCCCTGGTGTCTAATGAAATATTTGTTGGTTGGTTATTAACAGCAGTCTGTGCTTGGGAACAGGCTGTAGCGTCACCAGGGAGGATGATGTGGCACTTCTGCTTTGCTGCATCTCTTAGCAATCAAGCCGGCACAAAAACAATCCACTGAAGCTACTCTTATCCCCCCCCCAAAATAAATAATATAATATTTTAATGCAGAAGTTCTTCTGAATATTTTAAATGCCTGTTGATCAAAACTGCATGAATGAATGGCGTCGCCAGAGTCCCAGTTAGCTGCTTCAACGTTCGTGGATGCTGAGATGAGCTTTGGGTATTGGACTCTTAACGATGCCCCGCTCGTCCTGACCCATTTTGTAGTTTTGTCGCTGCGTGTCTGAACCGACCCAACGTTACTTCATTTAGAGCTTTTCTAAACTGGGCCTTCGTCAAACTGGGACGTAGCTTTGAATGCGGCCTACAGCTGAACAATCCCATCAGAGCCTCGTGTTTATCTGTCGGCTCACTTTTGTTATCCGACGGAAGGAAGCTGCCGGTTAATACTTTAGGAATTGGCGCGTAGCTTCTGAGACGAGATTGTGTTTCACATTATTTGCAGCCGAGTTACAAAGAATCAAAAGTAAAATAGAAAATGCTTCGAGAGTCGACTCGAGCTGGCAGCCTGCTTGCACGTTAAGTATCCTCTTCTGCATGCAAATCCGGGGAAAACTTGACTTTGCAGCCTTTCAGTTCTCACAAATCAATGTGGTTCTTGAGATTCAGCACACAAACACAATTTTCTTCACTTTGCTCTTTTGTGGGGACCTGGATGAGCAAAGAGACATTTTGAGACACTTGCAGTTCCTGCATTCCTCCTGGTAGCGTCAATGAGACCTGAAACAACTTATCAATAGTGGTCGACTATTAAAATAAAACTATTTAAACAGTTTGCGTTATTTTGAATGACAAAGCTTCTTAAATTGGAATATTTTCAGATTTCTTTACTCCTGTGACAGTAAATTGAATATCTTTTTTGAGTTGTGGACAGGAAAGATTTGGGGACGTTTTTCACCATTTTCTGACATCTTATAGACTGAACAACTCAAAGACTAACGGATTAATAAACGATGAAAATGACCCGTAGCCTTCAGCACGAGCATCCATCTTCAGTTTGCTCATCCAAAACGGACTACGTCAAACTCCCAAATGGCTGATTCATCTCATTAAGTGCTGTAACTGGTGTGATGGTCCTGTCTCTGCAGTGCTGGGTATACTGAACAGCCCCTTCAGTAGCATCCTTGGGAAGCCCCCCGGCTACCTGCCCCCCGAGTCCCTGAGCATGACTGCTGACTTCCTGGAGAAGTTCCCCAGCATGGCGCGCATGGCAAACCGCCTGGACTCCAGCTCCTTCTTGGACTCTCGCTCCAGCAGTCCTGAAGACTCAGAGACCAGCGGCTTCAGCTCTGGTTCAGACCACCTCTGTGACATGCTGGTAAGAATCATCATCCTTCTTCTTCTTAAAGGGGGGGGGGGGGCCTTGTTTCAAACGTAGATGAGCTTTACGTTTAACCAAATACTGAGGTCACGATATGCTGAGCTGTAGTCTATAAATGATCAGTGTCTTTATTTATAGTGTCTGTATTTTGGGTTTTTCTTAAGGCATCTCTTTCTATGAGAGCTCAAAACAGACATAATTCAAACCTTTAAGATATTATCTTGAGATCACAATTAATTCCCTATGTCAATATATCAAAACAACAAATGTTGGTATCTCGAACATGATCATTTGTTATTACGAGAGAACAGATGGTCGCTTATTCTTAAACGTTTAGGTCAAAATGCTTTACTTTTATAATATTGATGCTGATTGATCAGCCAGGTCTTGCTAAACTGTATATTCCATAAATCATCACAATAGTTTTATTTAAAATAGGCTTCGATTTATTCCCAATTTTTCCTTGAGTACATTTTCATAGTATTGTTTTTTCACTTTTTCTAATCGGTTCTTTTTTGTGTATTAAGCTCCTGTCAATAAAATATAAACTTCCTCCACAGATGTTTATCTTGAAATCAATCCAGCGGCTTTAAGGGCGTAACTCCTCCCTTTCCTGTTAGACTTTTAAAGCTAGGGTTGGTAATGCGAGTACGGTAGACCTAACGTGTAAACCCAGCACTGTGTTGACTCTTTTTCTAATGAAAGCAGGAAGTTCTTCATCTCACCAACAGTAGCTTAAATTAGTCTTGTGTGCAAAGCAATCAACAGCTAGTAGATTTCTATACACGAGTTCAAAAGTAATAACAGAATTTAAAAGTAGAGTGCAAATTGACGACTCTATTATAAAGTTTTCAAAGTGAATAATTGATATAAAAGCGCAAGAAAATAAATATCTTATCAAAAAACCCAAACAAGATGTAAACGACAATGTGCTTCTTAAATCTTCTGTTACCGAACGATGTGACCAGATGTCTTCATGCGCTCACATTCATTCTGAGCAACGGAAGGCCAGAGCTCCGTTTGTGTCGAGCAGTGAATGGAGGGAGTGGTGAGAGGTTGCTGTTACCACGAAGAGTTAGAAATCGGCTGTACGAGATATACGATAAGCTAGCTTATTGATGCCTGCTCGAAGGAGCCTAAATGTTTACTGAGAACACCGCGAGTGACACTTGGTCTCGTTTAAAGAGACTCACTGAGACAGAACGAACGGCCGGTCGTGTCAGTTTATACTCTCACCGTCTGTTTAAAGAGTCGAGAGACCATCGCTGTGATTAAAGAACGAATGGCAGGTCGGCCATGTTGCGCTTTCACAGCAACTGCCCTCCAGCGTTGTGTGTGTGTGTGTGTGTGTGGCCCATAGACCCCCGTGCTAAAGACGCTAGCGTAGCTAACTAGCTTCTTTGCAGCTCTGACACGGCTGAAGGCACTTTCTCCACAATTATTACACATTTATATGGATCGCTAACCTCAGACCAATATTTGAATTACGTCATATCGGAACCAGAAACTGATATTTGATCAGATCGACCATCTCTAAATATTTGGCATCCAAGCTCTGACCTTATTGTTCTCAAGAGAACCGGTTCTTGGGGGGAGAAAAGCTAGACTGAGCCTGCAGGTGAAGGCGAGGATCATAAATGCTGTACAAACAGCAGCGTCAAGTGTCTGCGTAGCTTTGAGGTGAACGGAGCACAGACGGCTTCATTGCACCGTGATTGTAAAGGTGTGTTTTAGGTTAATGTTGCAATGAGAGCAGAATGCCCCTTGTGAGTAACTGCAGGCTGAAACTGACTTCAATAGTGAATGAAACCTGTTTGTGTTTGAGAAGCTACAGCAGCAGATTGTAGAAGTGACAGGACTCTGTATGATGGGATCATCGCTGTGGAAATGTACATTATAAATAGTCTCCAGTAAGGTACAGTTGTCTGGACATGTCTGTCTTCCTCTCCAGTCGACTTTGCGGATTTCCCCTCCGCTGCCTTATCTGGCGTCTAACATGCAGAAGGATCTGCTGCGACTGGGCTCCCGGCTGGACCCCCAGGACTCCAGCTCTCCTCTGACCCCGCCATCCAGCGCCAGCCCCACCTCCACCATCTCCCGCCGCTGGCGTAGCGGCTCCCCCTGGCCCGGTGCAGAGATGCTCGACCAGTCGGATGACACGTTCAGTATCGAGCGGGAGGCTCGTCTGCACAGACAAGCTGCAGGTAAATCTAGAGCTCACCCGACTGTTCTACCCTTTTTGTTTTCTGCTCGGTTTTAATTAGTGGCGTAACGGACCGTTGTCTGTTTGTACTTATAAAGTTTTACTGATATTCAGTAAAAATATGCAATCAGGAGATCGATATTCAAGCCTTCTATTCGCTGATAATGTTACACTGTGAAGAACAAATCCTTGCTCAAATTGACAGAAGAGCTAGTGACGTTAGCAGCGCCGCTAACATACAAAGGTTCCATTCAGTTACATTGTGATGCGTTCAGGCTCTGTTCAGTGGAAGGGAGTATTGTGTGAAAGTAAATTATCACGGTGTGTTCACATGTGATCTTGTAAAATGTAGTTTTTGTGAGACACTTGAATAACTAGTTTGAAGACGTTTTCACAGCAATATGAAATGGATATTAGAGATGAATTATAAGTGTTTAAACTACTTAAAACCAGCTTATAACACATCATTAAAACTACTAATTGCAAGCCATTTTTTCTTGTTTCTATGAAAAAAGAAACTACAAATTTAAATAGTTTACACTAAAAAACAAACTAATTGTCTGGATCTTTGTAGACCAGCTGCTAGAACATTACAAAACAAAAAAGTGCTTAATATGAATAATCGATGATCGGCAGTTTGTATCTGTGGCAAAAAATGTGATTGTGGATCTAGAAGTTATATTTGCTCCTTTTTTATTTCTTTTGTGCTGATCCATGAGTTTTTTTTGAGCCGTTGCACCCTCTTAGTTTTATTTATTGTACATGGTCGTGTCCTCTGAATTTTGGCTTACCCCCTCCTTTTGTCCTGTGCTCATCAGCTGTGAATGAGGCCACGTTCACCTGGAGCGGTCAGCTGCCTCCCAGAAACAACAAGGACCCTCTGTACTCCTGCAAGGTGTTTCTTGGTGGCGTTCCCTGGGACATCACAGAAGGTAACTGCTGCTTTAATGTTGCTGCCCGACATCTTCTGGACGGTTTTATGGATGCTTATTAGCGTTAATCTGACAGTGTAATGAGTGAGCAGCCCTTCAGCTTTCTTCTTAAATGCATGCTTTCATAATTCTGGTTTAGGCGCAATGGTAGGGCTGAATGTAACGTTGTCAAAACAACCACTGTGAAGCAAATTAGTTCTGTGGCCTCATCCAGTTTTTGCAGAATAAGCTCATAAAACCTGCTAATGTCCTGCTCTTTCTTGACGCCTGGTGGTAAAAGCCGTTTGTCAGCTCGTTGACATAATTGTGGGGATTTTCGTCTGAGCCACATTTCTTGGTTCTTAAGTAAACAAATGTGCTTTTTATTCGATGCTCATTAACTCTCAACTACATCTCTGTTAACTACCAACAACCACACCCTTAACAACTATAAATCTAATGACTTTATAGAAGCCAGACTCCCATAAAATGGTGGTTCTGCTTTATTTCAGCCGGCCTGATCAACACCTTCAGCGGCTACGGCCCTCTGACTGTGGAGTGGCCTGGTAAGGATGGAAAGCACCCTCGCTGTCCTCCCAAAGGTAATGTGGCTAAAGGTAACGGCGAGCTGGTAGGCCATTTTTGTTTCCCTTCGTGGTGGCACTGTGGTGAGCACATGGCATGATGGTGAGTGGCCGTAGGCCTCTAGAGCGACTTTGGATGGTGACGCTGTGGCGTTAAACATGGTGGTCGGAAAAACCCTCACGATGCTTTAGATCTTTGGTAAAGTCTGTGAAAGCTTATGAATGTTGGGCTTCGGGGTAACCTGGTTGTCAGCTGATTTAAAGCAAACTCATTGCCCGTTACTGTGAAACATGTCTTTGTCACAATTTCAGGCAGAAACTACAAAATGAACTACAGTCACCGTGTCGAGGTCTGAATACTCACTAAGATCATTTAAGGGCGACATGTTCATATCCTAAAGAAAGCTGCAGCAATTAATAGTTTAGTTGTCAAATATTAAATTGCATTATCATAATAATCCATGAATGGGTTTGAGTATTTTGTTTTTTTTGAACCCTGATTCCAGCTTCTTAAACGTGACTATTTTCTGGTTTCTTTTGTGACGTTAAACCAAATGTCTTTGTATTGTGGACATTTAAAGACGTCGTCTTGGGAAACAAACTGGTGACGGATGTTTAGTAACGTTCTAGTTCAAACAACAAATTGATTAGTTGGGGAAAAATCGATAGATGAATAGACGATGACTATAATCGTTAGTTTCAGCCCTAATCTTAAAGTGTTTTCTGTTTTTAGGCTACGTTTATCTGGTGTTTGAGAACGAGAAGTCTGTGAGGGCGTTGCTCCACGCCTGCTCCCAGGACCCGTTTCACCCCGAGGACAGCAGAGAGTACTACTTCAAGATGTCCAGCCGCAGAATGCGATGCAAGGATGTGAGTTAGAACTAAACCTGCAAGGCACAGTTATGTAAAAGTACTTTGTGTATTCCCACCACGATCAGTGGTGGGAATACACAAAGTACTTTTACCGTTTCAGTCCCTGAAGAAGGCTTGATGAAATTAGTTTTTTAAGTCTCGTGACTAAACTTAACGATGAAGGAATCTTAATTGTTTTAAAAGACTGACTTGGAGTTTTCTGTCTACATGGATCCTTTTTTAAACATTTATTTTTTAAGTATATCTACTATCACTGTACTGAGTAGTCTTTTCTATTCATGTCCTTTTCTATTTCTGCTGCAGTCTGACAGTAAATGAACTCGACCAACTAAACCACAAAAAGTACTCTAAGGAAAAACTAATTATTTTTACTCTTGCATTAATGTAAAAGTAGGATTTTAAAGTGTTTTTTTTTTCCTGATTATACTTGCAAACTTAAGTAACATGCAGACTGTATTGTAGTGTAGTTGACTCTTTAATGGGCCTACAGACGCACTATAGAATATTTCATGAGCATGAAATAAAACAATTCTGAAATAATAAAATGTTTATATGCTTTCAGTTCTAGTTATGAGAACAAAAGATAATTGCAAATAGTAAATCAGTTTTCTCCAGTCTTAAACTGAATCTTTTAAATTTCTTTAATGGAAAAAATAGTAAATGTGTTTATCTTTAGTTGCAGCCACAGATCGGATGTTTCCTTAATTAAATGAAAACATTACTCGTACAGAAACTAGCCTGAATAAAATGTCACGGCTGACGATCTGTGACCGGACTCTGGCTTGTGTCCTGGTTCAGGTGCAGGTGATCCCCTGGGTGATCTCCGACAGTAACTACGTGCGCTGCCCGGCTCAGCGTCTGGACCCCAGTAAGACGGTGTTTGTTGGTGCGCTGCACGGCATGCTGAACGCTGAGGCGCTGGCCAGCATCATGAACGACCTGTTCGGAGGAGTCATGTACGCCGGCATCGACACGGACAAGCACAAGTACCCCATAGGTGAGATACATGTTGGTCAGATGTCCTGCTTTTCATTCTTCAAGTGTAGCCAGGTGGCAACCTCCAGTTCTGCCGCGTAAAGCCGATGGTGTGTTAAAGCTGCATTCTCTCTAGTGTCCACCAGGGGGCGACTCCTCTGGTTGTATAGAAGTCTATGAGA